TGAGTTGGCACTCTCAGTTGGGTTCCGCCAGAACCGCATTGTCACACACCCCCAGCCTGGTGCTCTGGGCCCGCGCTGTGCTGGCCCCTTGGCCACGCATCGGTGGTCCGACCTCCCAGCATGCACTGCACCCTGGCTGACGTGGGCCAGGCTGAGCCGTGCAGAGCTGGTGCCGTGTGACCCATGCTGGATGCTCCAGCCCTGGGTCCCCTCCCCCGGCCTGCACCCAACTGCCCTTGGCTTGGTCCGGTGCCCACTCCAAGGGGCTGCCGATCGCCCTGCCCTGGCCCAGGGTCCGGCGGGCGCTAGTCCCGCTGTACCTTCAGGAGGCGGGTGAGCTTGCTGTCGCGGTAGTTGACGTACTTGGGGGCCCCCTTGTCGCTCAGGGCGTTGATGCAGTTCCCCAGTGCCAGCAGCGAGCGGTTGATGTGGGCTCCCTCCTTCATCCTCTGCCCGCGGTTCTGGGTCTGTGGGGGCAGGGCGAGGGCATGAGGCAGGGATTCGGGGCTTTGGGGGAGGGGCACGCGGGGCTTTGTGCATGGCCACGCCCGAGCTCGGATTACACCCCGGCTCACGGGTGACTAGCAGCACATGGAAGAGTTGGCTTGGCCATGAGAACGTCCGGCAGAGCGACAGGGGCTGCGCGGGCATCGGGGAAGGCGCGGCGCAGGGCACGGGTTCTGTACCTACTGTGCTGCCCACACAAGAGCCACCGCCGGCACCCCCTGCAGGGCATGGCGCGGCCAAGGGCCCCATCCCCCACTGGCAAAGCGCTCGTGACTAGGGGTGTTCGGCTGTTTGCCCCTCCCTGCTTAAATGGCCTTTTTCTTTTTAAAGGAGAGAAAATCAAAGGCAACAGCCCAGCTCTGAGCAACAACAAGCCGGTGCAAACAAGCGACAACAACAAACCAGTGCCCATGAACAACCCTACAACATCAAACGAATACACACACGCAACCCTACAATAACAAATCAGTGTGCACAGCCCAGTGCCCACAAACGACCCTACAACAACACACCAATACTCACAAGCACCTCTAGCAGACCCCAGTGCGCAGTGCCAGCCCACCGCTTGCGGGCAGCACTTCCGTAACAGAACCTCTCCTAACCCAGTGCTGGCACTGTCCCCGCAGGTGCCACCTTACCACAAGCCGCAGGCGAAGTTACAACACGAACCAGCCAGGAGTCCAGGCATCTGACCTGGCCCCCTACGGGAAACCGCCAGAGCCCCCCTGAAATACATGCTGTGCCCAGTAAATGGAGTGTGGAAAAGGGGATTGGTCTAGAGGGCTAATCCCAAGCCTGGGGCACTAGGGGGCGCTGCGAGCTTGACTAAACCCAGGCAGCACCAGCTGGCAAAGTCCATTGTTCTGCCTGGCACCAGGACTGCGTGGGCAGAGCGGATCCGGGAACGAGGACTCCAGTCCCCCACGCAGCACCGGGGAGCGCAGCCTGTCGACGAACCCGGCACACGAAGTCGCCTGAGACTGTGACACATGGGGGCCCTACGCCCAGGACTGATCCAGCCCCAAAGCTCCGGCGCCTGTCAAACATACAGTCTGACCCACGGCCCCCTGGAAGCGCCAATCACCGCGGTATCTAGGGGCCGAAGGTATCCATTGTTGGCACACCAAGCGGGAGGCAGCGCGTGTGTTGTCATGCCCGTGAGCCTGACCTACTCCTGGTCCATCACCCAGCTGTGCCGGTGCCTCTCAGTTCCGACCCACTGCCCCCTGCTAGTCCAGCCCTGGCTCGCCTGTGCCCAGAGACTGGCAGCAGTGTACCCACAGCACAGCACAGCACACGGGGGACGTCCGACCTAGACCAAGGTGGATGCATTTGGCAGGCCCAGCTTTCCGGGCAAGGGATGGGTTCTCTGCCCTGCCTTTCACACATTCCCTCTCTCTCCATTCAGGACATGGAGGGGCCAGCCCCACGCTGCAGAGTTGGGGGGCTCTGGCAATTGGGGGGGGAACCCCTGAACCCTCCCTTCAGCGACTGATTGTGTCAGAGCCTGTCTCCTGGCCTCAGTGACCCCCTCGCTGAGATCTGCAAACCCCAACTTGCAGGGCAGGTCCCCGGCCCCGTCTCACAGACACAGCCAGGGGACGTGGCTCGACCGTGGCTGCACGGCCAGGCTGCAGCAGCCCTGGGATTAGAACCCACCATCCTGGCTCCCGGCCCCAGACCACGTCCCCTCAGTGCATCATGCAACTGCCACATCCCCAGCACCCGGGCTGAGCCTCTCCACCCCACCCGAGAGCCTGCCCACATCTCTGTACACCCACCCTCCTGGGCACCCCCACGGTGCGAGGAACTGTGCTCCCCCTGCACCGCCCGGCCGCTGGCACCGCCGGGCTCCCCCCGGAACCCGCTCTCCGTACCTGAGACGCCCTCTCGGAGCCAGCCAGGTCGATCATGAAGAGCCGTCCCACCCGCACCTCCTGCATGATGTTCTTGATGCGGCTCTTCTGGCGGACGGTGACCTGCAGCACGGCGTGGGACCGCGACGACGTCTGGTTAGCGGCCGTGGGCTCCTGCATCCGCTGCTTGTTCCCCTTCAGCAGTAGCTGCATGACCTGCGGGGCGGCAAGGAGGCGAGAGGGAGACGGTGTGCGGGGCGAGAGAGGGGCAGAGTGGGACACGGCCGGTCGCTCTGCCACCCAGCCCCTCCAGCACCCCGCTGCCCGTGGCATCCTCGCGTCGCCGCTGGGCACCCCTGCAGCACATCCAGCCTGTGTCCCTGAACATTCGTTCCCCTCTGTCCCCCAGCCCAGCGTGCCGGGTCAGTACACGCCCCGCCAGTGCCCAAACAGGGACCCTGGGTCCCCCCTTCACAGGATGTCACTTCAGCACCGTGGCAGGCTGTGGTGCCACACCAGGACAGCGCGCTGACAGGACTCGGAGGAGGGGACTGCGGGCAGGGCGCCCACGGCCAACAGCCGAACCACGGCTCGTCCAGACCCAGCTCCGCTGGCCCGGCATCCAGGCATGGGGTGAGTCTCTAGGCTCCTACACTCGGGGCCAGGAGAGGCTCTGCTGGGTGGGGGAGCTGCAGGATCGAAAGTCGTACCAGGGTCTGTGCCCCACGCTCACCTCCTTGGCGTTGATGGTGGAGACTTCTGTGATCCCCGCCACCTGGATCACTCCCTTGGCGTCCTCCCGCAGCTCCAGGAAGCCCAGTGACGGGTTGAGCAGGTCCCGGATCATCTCGTTGTAGATCTAGTCGTGGTGGGCGCAAGCGGGTGGGGGTTGGCACGGGGGAAGGAGAGCGGCAGCCAAACAACCCTCCCCCCATGCCTTTGGCCATGGCAGGGGTGAGCCATCCCATGCCAGCTGCAGGGGCACCACCTTGGGGCCTCCCCATGCCAGCCTCCCCACCCCACCCATCCGGGCTGCAGCAGATCACCAGGGAACCCAATGCACCCTCCACAGTCAGCCTGCCTTCACTCCCCATCAGCCCTGGCTGCCTGGTTCTTGGGATCAAGCCCTGCCACGCTCAGGCCTACAATGGGGCCAGCGTGGGACATGCCGAGGAGGGGCCTCACCTTCCCCCAAGCCGAGGGCACCCCCTCCTTGGGGGGGCCAGGCAGAGCGCCAGGCGGCAGCCGGGAAATGCAGCTGATATGCAGGGAAGGGCCAGGACACTAATAGCAGCTGGCGAGTGCTGCGTGTGAGCGCCCGTGCCCGCCAGCGTCTGCACCCAGGCACGCTGGGCACCGCTGGCTGATGGCTTAGAGGCTCCAGGGCCCCGGGCCTGGGCCTGGCTCCCAACCCCCCACACTACTAGGGATGAATCGCTCAGAGAAGGAACATGAGCGTCCTCTGCTCCTTGGCACCTGTGAGCTCCCCCAGGCCCAGAGTCTGCTCCCCACCCTGCCCTGTAGCAGCCCTGGCATGAGGCTCCAGGAGCTGGCACGCTGCCCTCAGCCCTGCCCCTCTGGACCAGGCTGGCGGCAGGACTGGGCTGGGTCCTGGCTGCACGAGGGAGCTGGGCGTGCCCCCGGTCCCTGCCCAGGCCCCGCTCCTGGATATTTATCCTCTCGGCCACCCCGGCCCGGTTGCCTGGCTCCCAGGGAGTTTTTGTGGGTGGTTCCTCCCCGGCAGCCTGGCTGCGTGTGTCAATATTGTACTAGCCCGTGCAGGCAGTGAGCTGGCGGCGGAGTCCCCGCGCGTTACCATGGCGATTATCTGCCCGCTGGGCACCGAGCGGGTGCTCGCTGGACCACAAAGCCGGGCGACTGAGATGGGCAGGGGAGGCGGGGCGACCCCGGGGGCTCCGCGTCAGCTGGGGGAAGGGGAAGCCAAGTCCCCGCAGTCCCTGGCACCTCCCAGATCATACACATGAATGCACATTACACACCCCACCCGCCTGTCTGTACGCACGCGTGCACACACACTATGCAGACTCTGTGTATGAGCACCACACACACAACCCGCCTGTCCCCACGCACGCACACACTACACACTACACTCTGTATGAGCACCACACACACAACCCGCCTGTCCACACACACGCACACACTACACCCTGTTTGAGCACCACACACACAACCCGCCTGTCCACACACACGCACACACTACACCCTGTATAAGCACCACACACACACAGTATATACAGACACAACCTGTAGGAGCGCCATACACACCATACACACACAACCCACCTGTCCATACATAAACACACTATACAACACACCCTGTATGAGGACCACACACACCATACACACACAACTCGCCTGTCCATACACAAACACACTATGCAACACACCCTGTATGAGCACCACACACACACAACCCACCTGTCCATATACACACACACTATACAGACACAACCTGTATGAGCACCACACACCATACACACACAACCTGCCTGTCCTTACACACTCGGGCCTTACCTCGAGATAGGACATGGACACCTCGTACTCCATGTCATCGCTGGTCTCCTCAATGGCTCTGAACAGGTCGTGGAGGGTGCGTGCATAGATGCCGGGCTCGTGGTCTGTGCCCAGCATGGTGTATGTCTTCCCACAGCCTGGGGGGGGCAGCAGGAAGGCAGTGTGTGCTCTCTGCGGGGCAGGGGACCCCGTGGGTCCGTGCCGGGCGGGGTGGGGACGGGGCATCCCCCGCGGGTCCGTGCTGGACAGGGAGGGGACGGGGCGGGAACGGGGCATCCCCCGTGGGTCCGTGCTGGGTGGGGAGGGGACGGGGCATCCCCTGCGGGTCCGTGCCGGGTGGGGAGGGGACCCAGCCACCCGTGGCTCGCAGGCATCCCCTGTGGACACCTGCTTCATGCTGCCCCCTCCCCTTTGTGGCTCTGCACCGACTCCTTAGCAGGCCCTGGGTCCCTCCCAGACCCTGCCCTCCCGCCACCCCGGTGGCAAGGCTGAAACGCCGCCATCCTGGCCAGAGGGGCGGATGGCGACTGGCCCGTTCGGCTCCCTGCATCGGCCCCTGCGGGTGAGCGTTCCCAGCGCCGCGCGGCCCTTACCGGTGGGGCCGTAGGCGAAGACGGTGGCGTTGTACCCGGAGATGACGCCTTCGATCAGGCCCTTGGTTGTGGCGCGATAGACCATCTCCTGCAGCCAGAGAGCGCGGGAGGGTGACAGGCCCCGGGCAGGGAGGCGGCGCAGACAGACATGTCAGGATTCACCCCCCTGCCCTCCCCGTGTCCTGTCACCTCCCCACTCCACAACACCAAGGCAATTACCTTGGACCAACCCCCCTCAACTGAAAATGTGGGGTGCGCGTGTACCATCCAGCCTCCCCCCGGGTCCCAGGCCCCTCCCCAGCCGCTTTTACTGACCTTTCCCCTGCCCTACTCACCCACCCGCACGCAGCCACCCCCGGTGTGCTGGGACAGACCCAGTGCGCAGAGACAGAGCTCAGACCCTCCTGTGCCCCATGCCTTGGCTCCTGCCACCCAAGGTGCAGGAGAATCGCCACTAACGGGGGGGCAGTATAGGGCTGCTGACACACAGCTGGGCAGCTCTGATTCCATCCACTAGATGAGTTCCAATCCCCTTCCCCGCCACCCAGGGCCAACGAGGGGCTCAGAAACCTGCTGAAGGGCTGGTCTCTGGGCATTGGAGGAGGGGGGATGCACGGTACCCCCCCACACACGCTCTTCCTGCCCCCCCTTGTCTTGGCTGTCAGAAGGGAGCGGGGGGGCATTTGATGGGGGCAGCCTCTCCGGTGTCAGCGTAGTGTGGAAATTAGCATGAAATGGAGCTGCTGAAACCAGACCCAGGGCCTGGCCTGGCCTGGCCCAGCCCCGCTGCCCGGCCGCTGTGTCGCACAGATGGGGCGGGGGCAGGGCGGGGGCAGAGGATTCTGGGATAGCAAGGCCCCCCACCAAGGGCCCCCCCAATCCTGCAGACTCGGGGCTGGGCGGCCCATACGAAGGGTTTGGAGCCTGGCAGGATTCCCAGGGCCCAGCTCCTCACCTGAGTTGCCGTGAAGTCGAAGGCCACGTCGAAGACGTAGGATTTCTCGCGGGAGCGGTTGGCTCGCAGGATGTCCTCGGGGTCCTCCATGGGGTCCATGAGCACCACCACCTGCCGGGACACCGGGTGCCAGGGGTCAGCGGGGTGTGGCCACGTGCCAGCCTCCTTTCCTGGGCATCTCTGGGATCAGGCCTGCCTGCCCCACACGCTGCGACCCGCACTCTCCTTGGGAAGCCGCGTGTCCCGGTGCAGCAGTCGGGGGGACGAGGGATGGCGAGAGGCTGGCACCTGGGCTGCGGCATGCGCTGGGCTGTCATGCACCTTCTACAACAGGATGGCAGCGAAACAAACCTCCACTGGGTCTCTGGGACAGCCCCCGGCTTGCCCCACTGACCAGGCTGGGCAGAGACCATCTCCCAGGGGGGCCGGCTGGGGCAGGGGGCCATTCCGCTCTGCGACAGGTAAGCAGCTCCTTGTGACTCCTGGAGAGCCCCTGACCCAAGAGACTCCCCAACAGGGGAGACACCCCGAGGCCGCACGCCAGGGGGAGGGGCCCGCTGGGGGCGCAGGCCCTTGGTGCCAGCTCGCAGCTACGTGGCCTGGGAAGTGGTGCTGCCCCAATCTGGGGTCAGTCCAAATGGTTTGTTTCCATATTGGCCATGTTTTAATGTTACATTTGGTTTATATATATAAAAACCACAGTCACTTTCCAAATGAAACGTCCGTTTGAAAACAAACCCTGGCAAAGCAGGACGTGTCGCTTTGGTCAACGCTTCTCCCCCGACATTTTCCAAAATGAATTTTTTGTCAAAACAGACACGAGTTTGAAAAAAGAAATTGGTTTAGTCAAAAAGGTGTTTTCCGAGGGGGATCTGTTCCGCTGACCGTTCCCCAGCCAGCTTCACTGCTGACATCAGGGGAGCGCCACGTGACAGCCGGCTCCATCACGCCCTCCGAGATGGCTGGGTTCCCGGCTCTGTCATGCCCCCCGCCCTGGCATGGCTCCATCACCCCCTGCCCTGGTTCAGCTCCCAGCTCCGCCATGCCCCCCCGCCCTGGCATGGCTCCCAGCTCCAGCATGCCTCCTGCCCTGGCATGGCTCCATCACACCTCCCACCCCGGCATGGCTCACGGCTCCATCGCCCCTCCCCTCCCCACCTTAGCACAACTCCCAGCTCCATGGTGCCCCCCACCCTGGTACAGCTCCTGTCTCCGTCTTGCCCCCGCCCTGGCATGGCTCCTGCCCTTCCCTTTCTCAGTCTCTGTTTGCTGCTACCCTCCCCTGGGGGCTCAGGGTTTGCAGCCTTTTAATAACTGACCTGATTCAGAGATGTGAGACGGGCTGGCCCCTGGGGGCTCGGCTGGCAATTAGACGGCGCTAACCTGGAGCTCAGCTGCACTCCGGGGAGATCTCTGCAGGCATGTACGGGGTACGGATTGTCTAGCAGGGACCGACCTCTGCTTTGGCCTCTCCTCCCAGCAGGGACAAATGGAGAAGGTAGATCCAGAAGGAGACGGTCTCCGCGCTCCCCAGGGAACGCTAGCCAGAGACCTCCCTGCTCCCGAATGGGGGTCACCCGGGAACTGGGCCTGCAGGTTAACGTCACTGCTGCTCTCTCAGGGGAGCTAGGAGATCAGGTTTGCCGGAGTGGCCTTTATTTAAAGATTAGCTGGGTCTCAGGTGTCGGCTGGGGAGACACTGCTACAGCTGGGTGGTGGAACCGAGTCAGGGCCCTGGAGCAGCAGCTCCGCTTTCCAGATGGCACCAGGCAGAGGAGAACAACGGCGGGGATTGCGGGGGGCTGCGGGTCCCAAGCAGAGCTGGGGCCGGAGGGTGCGAGGTCAGGACTGAGAGGCAACAGCAAGGGGCAGAACTTGGCTCCCTGGTCCAGCACGAGCCACACAGAATCCAGAGGCGAGTGCCAGGGGCTGCAGGCTCTGTGCGTTACCCAGCGTTCCTCACCCACCCAGCCCCCGCCAGGGAAACATTTATCCTCCTTTGTCCTCCTGTGAGCTCTGCTGCCCCCGGCTCCTGCTCCCGGGCGCGGCCCAGGGCTGCGGGGGAGAGGACAGGCCCATACTCGCTGCTGGGACATCCCTCCCCATTCACAAGGCACCTGGCTGTTTGCTGAGGCCCCACGGGAGGAGATAAGCTGTTCTTCAGGAAGGCGGAGGCTGGCTCTGGAGTGGGTGGCTTAGGGGGCCTGGCTGTGCCTGGTAGGGTGACCAGACAGCAAGTGTGAAAAATCAGGATGGGGGTGGGGGGTAATAGGAACCTATATAAGAAAAATACCCCAAAATCGAGACTGTCCCTATAAAATCGGGACATCTGGTCACCCTAGTGCCTGGGTCCGTTGTGGGGAGCCCAGCAAGGCAGATTGCCCAGAGCACTGAAATAAGGAGGAAATGCAGGGGGATGGGATGGGGGGATCCAGGGATCCCCGATGGCTCTAGGTCCAGGGATCCACTCCACTTGCATGCACCACACCAGTGGCAGCTGGGAAAAGCTGGAGGCCAAGGGTCCAGGAGAGTCCAGTGGCTATCGCCCCAGGTCCAGCTCCGGGGGCGGTTCCCCTGGAAATGCAGCCGCTGCCGCCTGGCATCAGGTTCCTCTTTGAACGGGTGGGAACGAGGCTCGGGTTGGGTTTCAGAGAAGGAGAGAACAAAACCGTCCTCAGAGCCTCTTGGCCGGGGCTCAGCGTAATCTGATCAGCAGCCACCAGCCCGGCCAGGCGAGGCACATGAGCGCAGCAGGGAAGGGGCCTGGCCAAGGGACCACCAGCCTGGCATCCCACCCCGTCGCCATCCCAGGCAGACGGCAGAGCTCCCCAGTGTTGGGGCAGGAGGTTTCAGAGGAAGCCGTAAGCCCCCAGCAAACACCCCCAGCTCTGCAGTGCTGCACAGGGGACGGCCCTGGAACCCCAGCAGCTGATCTGATGGTGCCCTCAAGCTGTCACTAGCATGCTCACCAGCATCCTGGCATATGCCAGGGCTAGTCACAGAAATGTACAACCCCTAGCTCTTCTCCGGCGCTTGCCATCAGTTGATCTCAATGCACCTTACAAAGGAGGCCGATATTTCAGGCCATTTTACAGATGGAATCTGAGGCACAAAGAGATGCAATGACGTGCCCAGGGTCACCCAGTGGGCGGGTGGTCAAAATGGGATTAGAACTCAGTTCGGTGCTCTAGCCACTAAAGCCTCCCTCAGCTTCCAGCATATCCTGCTGCAGCAAGTTCCAGAGGTTAACAACCTTCTGCACATAAAGTAAGCGCATACATACAGCGAGTCCCAGGCACTAACGAGCCCCGGCTCATTCTTACAAAGGGCTTGCTGTATCCATGCTAAGACTGTTGCCAAGGCAACCAAGAGATGGCAGCAGAAGCTACAGGGGTCTTGCGAGTACATCCCCCTCTGAGGTGTGGGGGATGGCCCGTCAAGCTCACAAGCTGGCGGGAGACAGTACTTGTGCCTGAGGTTGCGGGGGCTAAAATGCTTCAGGCCAGATTTCCAGCTGGCATCAGCCAGGGTCTCCAGCAGGCCGACGGAGCTGCCCCGCCTGACCCCCGCTGAGGTGCCGTCCCCTCCAGACTGACCCCTGCGGGGACAGCGGTGGGAAATGCAGGAGGCTGAGGGACAGGGCAGAGCGGGCGGTGGACGGGCTGCGGTGAGGACGTTCGCCCTGTGCTGGCTGCCAGGCCTGGGCGAGCCAGTACTGCCGGGACAGCGGCACAGGAGGGACGGGCTGCTCTCCCGTTGTGCCTCCTGAATTGGGGCATTGTTCCCGGGGCCAGGGCCGGCCCTTAACGAGCGCTTTGTGCACGGTGCCAAGAGAATCCAACTGTCCTCCCCTGCGCCGATCCGGGCTTTGATCGCAGTCCTCTGTGGGCCAGCGACACACAAAAGCGGCTCTGTGCCGCGCAGGCCGCCCCGGGCAGCGCCAGCAAGGTGCCCTCCACAGGGGGGACAAGCAGGGAGCACTCCCCACACACTCTGGCAGCAACACAGCGGAGGGAGTCGGGGTGGGGAGCTTTTCACGCTGGCCGGGGGTGCTCTCCCCGACTCTCCCCCTTGGCCATGCTACACCAGGGAGGGAAGGGCTGGATCCACCAGACCACCCGACCCATAGATGCTCCCTCCCCACCAGTCCCTGGCCCCTCCACGGACACTTCCTCCAGCCCCTTCCCCCCAACGACGATACGGGGGGGGGGGCACACAGCCAGCGCAGCACTGCCCCCTTCCCCCGCCTCCCACTGCCTTCTCCCCGTCTCCCATTTCAATGCAGATTTTGACCTTTCCCGAGTGCCGGGCTGGCAGGCTGGTGTCTGTGTGTGTAACCCTACCCCGGGGGGAGCGGGGGAGCGTCACTCCACCCCACCTGCCCTACTTCCAGCCTGGCCAGCATCTCCTAGGTGAGAAACAGAGTGCCCCCCCCCACCGGGCTGTGGGCATCCCCCTGCCCCAGAGCCACTTACTGGGGTGCCAGGTCACCAGATAGGGGTTAACATCACTCCCCTCGCCCCAGCCCCTGGCATTCCTTCTATCGCAAGGACTTCTAGGGCTCCTGTAGTGTCCCGCTCTGCTTTGGTATTGTAGGGTCTCCCATAAGGACAGAGCTACGCACACTGGTTTGTTATTGTAGGGTCTCCCATAAGGGCAGAGCTACACCCACTGATTTGGTATTGTAGGGTCTCCCATAAGGGCAGGGCTACACATGCTGGTTTGTTATTGTAGGGTCTCCCATAAGGGCAGGGCTACACCCGCTGGTTTGTTATTGTAGGGTCTCCCAGGGTGGTGGGCACTGGTTTTTGTTATTAAAATCCACGTTTGTATTATAAATACAAAGAGGAGAAAGAAGTCCTGCTACCCGCCCCCTGCCCTCTAGCACAGGGCAGCGACAGGGCCCCGCACGCTGGCTCCCCAACAGAATGGGTTCAAGCAGGAACTAGCAAGGGCAGAGCTGGGCAGGACAGATCCCTGACACCATGGGGACGGCGGGGGCAGGATCAGACAAGCTGCAAGGAAGCCCCCGTAGCCCCCATGCCCAGGTGCTGGGATCAGGAGAGATCCTGTCCAGGCCCCCAGGCCCTGGCATCCCTGGTCCCCCCAGATCCTGACGTGGCAGCTGGGTTTGTCTCCAGAAGTTCCATTGCTTGGAGCCAGCGTTGACCCCCCCGTCCCCCGGCCTGCGCACAGTCGTTGCCACGGCGACTAGGTGCTCCGATAAACCATGCCAGTGCACGTCTGAGATAGCATTGTCCCCTGGCCGGAGCGGGGCCCACGCCGGCCCCTGTGCACCCGGGGGAGGGTGCACATGCTAGCCAAGGCAACCCAGAGAAGCAGCTTGCGTCTGACCTCCCCCCCCACACACAGGAGTGGCCAACACCCCCCACTCTCATCCCCCGCACGGCGCGGGCAGAGCCACGGGCATAGGATGGCTGCTTCCCCTGGCCTGGCCTTTGTTCTCGGTTTTACCAGGGGAAGAAAATCAGCCAAAGAGGCCCAGAAGGGGAGGCTGTGGATTTGGCATCCCGGTGAAGCAGGGGCGGGCACTCCTTGGAGGTCAGTGGGGGGCACTTTTTCCTCCTGGCTAGTGAACTCGGTTGTGCTGGCACCTCGATCCCAGACCCGTCGCAACCCCCTCCTATCCCAGGCCTGGGCTCCCCCCACAACACCCCGGGACGGACGTAGGGCCCTAACATGTCAGGTCACCTCTGTTCTCACTTGCAGCAGCCCCTGCTGGTCCAGCCCTGGACAACTCGCCGGTCCTCCAGCTCTGGGGCTGTCTAGGACAGACCCCACCCTTGTCCTGCCTGGTGCGCCGTGCGTGTGTGAACAGACTGTGCAGAGGAGACCACACGTGAGAGCCGGAGTGCTTGTGCAATAGGGAGCCATCCTGCCATGCCCTGGGAGCTGGAGGAGGAGAGGCCTTGGGGACGTGCCTACCCCCTGTTGCTGCAAAGAAGGGAACGAAGGAAGGGGAAAAGAAAGGCAGGAATCCTAGAGGGAAAGATGGGCCTGGGGATGGCACGAGAACATGACAGGGAACACGTTCCTCCCAGCACCGCCCCAAGGCACCCGCCATCTGCCCGATTCTTATCTGACACCCAGGGCCTGGGTAAGGCCGAGGGCGCCGGCTGCCAGAGCCTCGTGATTACAGCAGGGCCACAGGAAGTGTCTAGCTCTTGTGAAAACAAGGAGGGGGCCTGAGGCAGTCGCTTAGAGTGGGGACGGCCCCTGCATCTCCGTGGGGCATTACCTCTAAAACTGGCTGGTCTGGAGCCTGCCAACCTACCCCGCAAGCTGTGTAACCGCCCCTTCCCTGTCCCCATGGTCCGGGCATCAGCCAGGCCCTCCCTCGGGAGTTCGGAAATGTCCCATTGCAGCCTTTTTTGGAACAAAGCATTTCACGCTGCAAAGACCTTTTCCTTCAGAAACGGGTTACAGAAGGGAATCCAAGGGTGCGCTTTTGAAACAACGCCAAAAGCCAAACAAAATGCTGCTATTTTGACAAACCCAAACGTTTCAATTGCCCCCAGAGGAATTTCCCTTCACCGAGGCTTTGGGGATTTGGGAGGTTTTGCTCCGTTACAGAGCGAAGGCAGACGTCGAAATCCCCAAATCCTTTGTGAAACAGAACGTCCGTTGTCCCCTGCTGGCTCTGACAGACAGCCCCCTCTCCCCCCGCAATCCGGCGGCACCTCGAAGGGGGCCTGGTCTGCCCAGCTCCCCACCTGGTCAGCCCTGGGCCCAGCCGCAGCTCTACTTCCAGCCCAGCCAGTTACCATCTGCCTGGAGAGTCCCCTAACGCCGTGCTCAGCCCAGGTAAACACAGATGGCAGAGACAGCGCGGAGCTCACGGCCGCCTGCTCTTCCCGTAATTGCTCGAGGGGAGGAAAAATATCCTGCTAATAAACGCAGCTTAATTTCCTCCTGATATGAGGCCGCACTGGGGCTGGCGAGCGGTGACCCGGCCCCAGTGCTTAGAGCTGGATCGATAATGGAACGGCGCGAGGGGAAGCCGAAGGGTCAGACAGCGCCAGGGGAGATGGGAAAGGTTGATAGGCCCAGACCCTCAGCCAAGGGCCAGATCTGGGGAGTTTGTTCCAAGGGTTTCTTATACTAAAGAGCAACTTCAGTGCCATGAGCAGCCCTCCATTAACAAACCAGCGCGGGCAGGCCTGGGGCTCACGCGCCACCTACGACAACAGACCAGCAGGGGCAACCTGGTGTTTCTGATGAACCCTACAACAACAAACCAGAGAATACCTGGTCTCCTATAGCTACAGGTGGGCTACCCAGAGCTATCACCTAAGGTCACGCAAGGCTCAAGAAGGGGGAAAGGAAGACGCAGCGGTTAATCTTTTCTCATCCGGCTCCCCGCCACTCCCCTCACTCATTGAAGGTAGGGATTGATTCTGGGGCCGGGTTCTGTTTCCCTCCCTTTCAGCGTTTAGTTTTGGCTATGCCAATGCCCGGTAGCTTCTGGGGGTGGGCGGCTGATCTGAATTGTGACTGATCAGGGTGAGCGATCGACTCCTCACTGAACCCATCACGAGACATTTTCCTTTATCATTTGCATCCTGCATTCCCACACGGCGTGAAATACACCCCACCCCTCCAACAACCTGCAGTGCTGGGCGTGGCACGAACACATTGTGAGAGACAGGCCAGGCCCCCAAGAGCTCACGCACTAACCAGACAACGGTGCGCTCAAGGAAAGATAACAGCCTCACTTTCACAGATGGGGAATCGGGCCCCCATCTCCAGAATCCCAGCCCAGTGCCTCATCCACGCTGCCGCCCTGCCACCCATGCCCCTGCTCGGCGAGCTGCGGAGAGCACGCGCAGGAATTGAGACAGGCTGCAGCTGACAACCGGGAGCAGGAATTGTAATGCTCCAAGGCAATTTGCCACGTCGGGGGGAGGGTCCCCAGGGTGCATTTAAAAACGCTTCTTCTTGGGAGGGGGTTTTACTGGCTGGTTTGGATTTTAAAGGAAAGCCAGAATGACCCCTAATTAAAGCCAGTGGCCCCTATGGGGTGGGGGGCTGCTGGAGTGCTGGGCAGTCCAGCTGTATTCAGATGCCCAGCAGGTGCGCTCTTTGTGGGCACATGGGCCCAGGGGGTACAATTCTACCTGGACTTCTCTAGCACCTTGGGAAGCAGGTGATTCAATGCAAAACTAGCAACACAGGAAACCGAGTGGACCGGCATGAAAACACCTTGCTCTCTGCTTTTTAAAGGGCATCGAGAAAAAGAGCTCCTGGGAGATTTTGCTTGTTGCATCCCCGTCTCCCATCACAACCCTTAGCAAGAGAGACACTGCCAAGTATCCTCCATTCACACCTAATGCGGGAAAGGGCAGCGCGAGCTTCCTCCGTACGCTGCTCTGCCAATGCACCTCATTCTTAGCTTGCAAGCCCCTCCTTGCTAGCCCAACTCTGCCAATGCCCCTCCATCCTGACCCGCAGCCCCCCAGCCACACCATCTTTTAGGTTCATTTCTCTTTAGACTGGACACCGCGGGCTTTGCCAAAATGCACCAGAATCACAGCCACTTACTCTGACCTGAGGTAGGATTTGAACTTGGATCTGCCAGGGCGATGTCCCCGACACACGGTGCCAGCAAGCCCCCCCGCTCGCCCACCTGCCCTGAATGCTCCTGCCCTACCTGTTCATCCACTTTATGAGCTATGAGAGTAGCTCCTTCCTCCAGCTCCACCATGCTGATCGGCCGGATCCGAAGGGCCACCTGAAAGAGAGCGAAGAGAGGGTGAGAGATGCAGGCGGGGAACGGAGCCGGTGGAGGGAAGGCAGAAGAGACGGGGAATCGGCACCTGCACGTGAGCCATGGTGCCGCCTGGCACGGAGAGTCTCTGAAAGTTCCTAGCACTTAGGAAGCCGGCTGAGTGCGAGCCGCCCACCTGGCGCAGCGACTTCGCTGCGATGTCCATTCCCCACCCCACGCCTCACCTGAGGCATCGCCTCTCTAGCGAGGCAGCGCAGAGGCCCTGGCGCGCCCTCCCCGATGGCCACGCATGCAGCAATTGCAGCTTTTTCCTGGAAGAAAGAAAACACCGCTGGGAGCAGATCAGCGGCTCCGGCTGCACACACCAGCCCTGTCGCGAGTTTAAAGGGACAGCTTCAGCCAGTCTGTCCACAGAGGGGCTTTTCCCTCCCTCTAACCCTGAGCTCTTCGCTGCCTGGCCAGCCGCCGGAAGGGCTGGGCTGCAAAACGCTTATCAAATCCATCAATTAGCGAAGCTCCCCGCTAGCTGTTTGATCCATCAGCCCAAGGTGCAAAAAAGTTTGGTCTGAGAGAGCTAAGGTGCTGACGGCTAGTGATTCCTGGTGCAGCCGTGCAAACCAGACGGGGCAGCCGTGTCCAGACCAGCTCCCCAGACACTGTGGCATCGGTTCCCTCCTTTGCCTCATTCACCCTGTGAACACGGCTGCTACTCTGAAACCTGTCACCCCGTGTGTGTTTCACAGCTGAGCGGGTCCCCTGCGTGTCTGGGGGAGAGTCTCTCTAACGGTCACGTTCCCTATAAAGGGACCAGGAACTTGGGAAGAGGCCGAGTCCCACCCAGAAAGTCCAAAGCCAAGTGGGGTCAGTTCTGGGCCCCCACTCATCACTGGTGCTAATGGGGGTGAGGCCTGGGCACTGAGGAGGGGAGAAGCTCTATATTTGGGAGGGGGTCAATTCAAGTACTAGTGGGTGTCTGAGCCCTGGAAGTGCCCGCAATGTGCCAGGTGCTGGCTGTATGCCAGGACACAGCGCCAAGCTCTTCATCACCCAGTGGCAACACACCCGGATTTGTAACCTTTTGTATCCTTCATGTTGAAACGGTCCCAATGAACATTACGTTGTTAAAGATAAAGATGCAATAAAACCCAACTTAGCTTTCAAGTTTGAGCCCCTAGGGCGGTCACAGAACATTTAGGTGATAGAGAACCACTAGGAACGAGCCAACCAAACTTTATTTAAAAAAATGATCCGTGAAGCAAACAGGTATCGATTTCCACATACATAATGCTACAGTTATACGCCCACTCAGCAATGAAATAGTCTATCAAGGGGGTCAGTCCCCTGACAACAGCGTGAAGTACAGTCTTATAATCCCAGAGCCTCACCGGATCCTTTGGATGTTAATTGGCGCTCACTTGCAATTTAGCAAAACTGCTCCGTTTCTACTCCATGATACTACTCATTCATATGAATCTGTCCTTTACTCTCATTCTGTCTCCACCACTGCACTTTATCTAGGTGAACAGCTGCATCAGCGTCCTTCCCACACTGCCAGCACCGAAGCATTTCAATAAAACATTCAAGATTCTCAACAACACTGCTTAGAAACCTTGCGTGAACAACTCCCAACCCAGGAACCCAACCCTGGGGCCCGGCCTTGCTAACTTGTACCTTCCCAGAATGCTCTGCTTCCAACTTACCTTCAACTCTCTTGCGCGAGCAACTCCAATTTCCCAGACTCCTCTGCACTTTGGCTGAGTTAGTCTCCGTCCCTAACGTCTACTTATCTCTTATCCCAAACCACCCGATAGGCTCCCCGCTGTAAAACTGGCAGAACCCATCCCGCGGCGGAAGCTTGGTGAGTAGCTAGGGCCACTACTCATTTGTAGCAAATACTGCATCCCCGGACCTGTGTGTTACCCCCACACCAGGCCTGGCTTCCTAGCGAAGTCCAAGCTGAGTTGGGCACTTAAACATCATCTATGTTAATGAAGCACGAGTGTGTGAGCACAATCGGTGGGCCGCGGCGCTGACCAGAATCTCTTGCATGAACAGATCAAGAAATAGCATCTTTCCAGCCACTGACGCACATTGGCACATGTGGGAATTGTGTGGGGAGCGTCACCTGAGCCCTGCTATGGGGGCAGCACCACAACTCTGCAGTGCAAACGGACCCGTGGGTTATTGACACTGACACGCTTACACAGAGACACTCCAACGCAACCGTACAATGGAGGCTGCCTCTCCCCACAACATATGAACCAAGACGGGGCTGGGGAGGTGGAGAGGGGCTGGTCATAAGAGCACGGAGATAAAAGTCCAGCCATATCATTATGCACTTTGGGAGATTACACTCTAGGGCATGCGCACCTACACACACACGATACAGCATCCAGTGCACACTTTACAACGTGCACTGCTTGGCCTCAGATCCCACAAGTGCCCCCAAAGGAAGTTGAGGACACTCTGTGTCATCCAATATTGGTTTCTTATTGTTCCTCTTACATTCTTTGCTCTGCAGTATCTTTCTCCTTCTGTTCTGAAAAACAGGAAATCTGGAGAGGCGCTGGGATTTTTTAGAAGACAGTTTTACTGCTCTCCAGTAAACAGTTCCTTTAAAAATACTGGCATCATCCTTTGGTTTGTGTGTGTGTGTAATGCTGCTGCAATTCATGACGGCAAACTGTAGGAGGACAAAGGCTGCAAAATCCAGTCCTAGGAGGCTATAGCAAGTACTCACAAACAAATATATATTGGTATAGTACACACACACTCGTGCGCACGCACACACACACACACTCGTGCACACACCAACTAGATTAGCCACATACACACGTTATTTTGCATATACGTGCACACCACCACCACGCTTACACAGTGGAGGTCTGTAGCACCGAGCATCTCTGATCACACTGTGCGGCTTTATTCCAGGTGTGTAAGAGCTCCAGAGGGTTACACACACACACACACACACACACGTGTCAATCGACGTACCGCTCTATACACCTGTATGTTACCCAGGTACGCACACACCCTTTCCCCAGCTCTCTGTGTACAGCAGCGGTAGCGTTTCAAGCAACAAAGGCACGATTACTACAGTTCCCAGAGAACCTGCCCAGCCAGGAACGAGCGTGGGGACAGAGGCCTGGCTGCAGCCCACTCATTACATACAAATGCAGCTAGAGACACTTCCAGACTGAGCAGGGGGCAAGGGAAGACAAGTGACTAGCGCCCACCTTCCCACCCCCAGCCGCTGAGGCCAACATGCAAACTCCAGCTTTGGCTCCCGTTCTGACCAGCCACCCAGCCCTTTTCACCCTGCCGGACAGGACGCGAGCATCATTAACCAGCATGTACTAGGTAGGCAGCGCGGAGGGGAATTTCCCACTCTCCCCGGGTTCCCTTGGTGTGCCCGCCGGGGCATCACTGGGCACAGTGGGCAGCCAGTCCCTGCCAGCCTTACTCCCCCCACCCTGAGTGCTAATCAAGTGACAGAAAAGAAGAACTTACCGTGAGTTGCTGGTCTCTGGACTCCTTCACCTCCTTCATGATCCTGGCAGGTGCACAGAGGGGCTAGAGGGGCGGGCCGGCAGCTGGCACAAGCATGGCTCTCCGGCCCCGCAACCGCCACTTCCCCCTCCACAGCCCTGTCACTTACATCGGCTGTTTCCTAAACAACCTGAGACTTAGGCTAATCCTCCCAGAGACAAAGGGTGGGGGGACCGCCAGCCCTGCCTGCCCCTTTCCCATCCACGGGCTCAGGGCCTTTTGTCCTCTCCGCCCCCCTGGAGGCTACAGAGCCACGAAGGGCTGGGGTGCAGCATTCCTGCTCCCTTCGGGGAGCTCTGCCGCTCTCTCCAGCTGACTGGGCTGCGCTCAGGAGGGCCAGCCCAGCTCTGCCTTGCTGCTTTCGCTGCCTGCGGGATCTCGCCAGGTCCCCTGGAGATCTTTAAACTGTACACAACAACCGCAGCGCAGCCGGCTCCTGGTGACACCGGAGCACACAAGCGGCTGGGCTGGGCTCTGCTGTGCTCAGTCGCCCTCTGGCGGCAAGTATAGGGTGTGTGTGTGTGTGTGTGTGTGTGTGTGTGTGTGTGTGTCGCCTGCAGCTGTCGCCGACGGGGAGCGTGGGCGTGGCAGTGGTGTGTGCGCGCGAGTCGCCCTGCAGCTCTGCCACAGGGGAGCTGGGCGTGGTGTGTGTGTGTGTGTGTGTGTGTGTGTGCCCTGCAGCTGTGCCACGGGGAGCTGGGCGTGGCATGGTGTGTGCGCGCGAGTGCCCTGCAGCTCTGCCACAGGGGAGCTGGGCGTGGTGGGTGGGTGTGTGTGTGTGTGTGTGTGCCCTGCAGCTGTGCCACGGGGAGCTGGGCGTGGCATGGTGTGTGCGCGCGAGTGCCCTGCAGCTCTGCCACAGGGGAGCTGGGCGTGGTGTGTGTGTGTGTGTGTGTGTGTGTGTGCCCTGCAGCTGTGCCACGGGGAGCTGGGCGTGGCATGGTGTGTGCGCGCG